ATTAAAACTACTCTTGTCAAAAGTAAAGTACTTCAGATTTGTTCTTAAGTCCAGTACATATTCAGACAAACATGGCAGTAACAACAAAACCTGCAGGCAGAAAGGTAAAAACCCAACATGTTTATTTGAGATGGTGAAGACACCGTAGGATCCTCACAGGGTGATTATTTCTGCTGAGGCCCGGCTGTTTGTCCCAACGGCAGATAATTACAGCAGAAACGACATAAACAGCCTCCTTCCTGTCTGCACTTATCTCTGTGCTTCAGCGTGAACATCAAGGCCTTCGGCTTTATCGTCCAGTTCAGAAAGAACCTCTAAAAACCCTGTGGAGACGTTTTCAGGTCTCATCTGAGCAGATCACTCTTTAGATACTTAACTCCTCTTTGGGAGATGTTCTGCGTTTCAAAGCCTCCTTTCCTTCTTTCCTTTTTTAATTTTTCCTCCTTTCTGTCCTTCCTCCTTCCCCCTTTCCTCCCTCCTCCTTTACTTCTTTAGTTCACTTTGCATGTTTCATGCTTTCTTTGTTTCTTCCTTCCTTCTGTCCTTCCTCTTTTCTTTTTCCTCCCTCCATTCTTTCCTTTGTCTTTTCATTTCTCCTCCCTTCCCTTGTCCTTTCTCCTTGCCTTTTTCTCCCTTCCTTCTGTCCCTCCTCCTTCCCTTTTTATTCTCTCTCTTCCTTCTTCCCTCTCTTTTCCTCTTCTTTCTGCCTGTCCTACTTCCTTCCTCTTCCTTTATTCCCTTCTTCGAGTGTATGTCCAGAATTAGAGATACAGATTGCATTTGTTTCCTCTGCAGGCTCTGACCACCTCTCCCTCTCTCCCCCCGGGTTAATTGACAGCTGCAGAGTGTGAGTCAGCTGAGTGTTGAGGCTCGGCCCTCCCAGATGTGGGGCTGGGCGTCTGTGCGGTGAGTCCACCGCAGTGAAATCTGAGTCCTCCGGCCTGGCTGCTTGTATTTTGGGATGTTTTACACGGGGCAGGACAAAGACACGTTTCCAGGCGGCAGCGCAGTCTGAGCAGATGTTTCTGCTCTGGGAAAAGCAGAAGAAGAAGAAGCGACCTTGTTTCTGCAGAAGAAGGAAGAGTGAAAGACGGTAAAGTTGTGCTGAGTGTTGCCTCTGCAGAGCCACAGATTACTGCAGCTGCGGAGGGGAAGCGCAGCTGACTGAAAAGCGAAACCGAGGATACATTTAGAGGATAAAGATGTTTCTTTTGTGGATAAAAATGCGCCCCGTAGGTTTGAAGGTTTGCTGACATGAACTTTGACTGGGAGCAGAGCTGCGTTCACGTGAGTTTCTACCTTTACTGGCTCACCGGGTGTTTCAATGACAACAGTGACCACGTGTGGTCGCACAGGCAGGGTGGACAGTCTGGGTAATTAGTCCAATTAGTACTCTCACTTTTAAATTACAGATAAAGACTTCAAATATAAGTTACATGTTCGGGGTAACTTAACAGTTTAACCTCTTTCTTCTGTACTTCTGTTTAGTTAACCAGCTAACAAGCTAATGTTCCCAACTAGTTAACCAGCTAACAAGCTAATGTTCCCAACTAGTTAACCAGCTGACAAGCTAATGTTCCAACTAGTTAACCAGCTGACAAGCTAATGTTCCAACTAGTTAACCAGCTGACAAGCTAATGTTCCAACTAGTTAACCAGCTAACAAGCTACTGTTCCCAACTAGTTAACCAGCTAACAAGCTAATGTTCCCAACTAGTTAACCAGCTAACAAGCTAATGTTCCCAACTAGTTAACCACTAACAAGCTAATGTTCCCAACTAGTTAATCAACTGACAAGCTAATGTTCCCAACTAGTTAATCAACTGACAAGCTAATGTTCCCAACTAGTTAATCAACTGACAAGCTAATGTTCCAACTAGCTAATCAACTGACAAGCTAATGTTCCCAACTAGCTAATCAACTGACAAGCTAATGTTCCCAACTAGCTAATCAACTGACAAGCTAATGTTCCCAACTAGCTAATCAACTGACAAGCTAATGTTGAAGATAGATACCAACTACTAACAAGCTACTTTTTCAAGCTAGCTAAACGAGTTAACAAGTTACTTAGCAAGCAAATGTTACTTGAAATGTAGTCATAACGTGAGGTGGTGATGGGGCGGTGGATAAGAAACATGCCTTTGGTGTGAGAGACCCGGGTTCAAGTCCCCTGAGCAAGACACTTAACCCCTAGTTGCTCCAGAGGCGTGCAACCTCTGACATGTACAGCATTTGTAAATCGCTTTGGATGGAAGTGTCAGCTAAATGAATAAATGTAAATGTCACAAACTAACAAGTTGGTATGTTGCCAGCTAACGCTAGCTAGGAACAGACTAACAAGCTAATGTTACTAGAAAGCTAGCTAATAACTAAGTAGCTGAAATTGTGAGCTAGCAAACCAAATATTGAACTGACCAATTAGTAAGCTAATATTACCAGCTAGTTAACTAACAAGCAAATTTGAATAGAAAGCTAGAAAATAAGTTAATATTTTGAGCTATTTTGCTAAATACAAATAAGGAAATGCCACCAGCTAGTTAACCACAGTTAATAAGCTACTGTTACAGCCAAATACATACAACTAACAAGATAATGATGTCAATTAGCTAGCTAACAAACAAACTAAAATCACTGTCTAGTTAACCAACTAAGCTAAAGTTAAGCTAAGTTACCAACCAAAAAAGTATATGTTAAAGAAACTAGCTTAGTGACTCTGTGGAGGCAACAGACTTGACCGTAGAAGCTGGACCTTTTGTGCGACCCCTGTATTTTTGTGTTCAGATCGTTAGCTGACCCGCTCCTGATTCCCTGCAGATATGGCTGAAGATGTCTGTGGATTCTGATAACGCCTGTGTTTTGCTGTCACCGCGAGACTCCAGGTCCTCCTGCGTCTTCCGCACCGCAGACGAGAAAGATGACCTCCCAGAAGTGGGAGAGGAGAGGTAGCTCACTCCGAATACTCTGCAATATATTTTAATATTCCAAGTTATCATTATTTTTTTACTTCTCCTACTTTTCTGCTGCTCGCCACACTTTGTTTTTATCTTTTTATTTATTTTTTAATTTCTGGAAATCACAAGAATTTGCAATTAATTATGGAACTTGAGTAGGGAAGCAAGGCCGCCTTTGTAGTTTCACATGGTAAAGTTGTATACTGAAATCTCAGGTAGCTGTTTGGGCTGATTGAGCTTCAGGACATTCATGATGTGAGATGAGGATTTTCTAAACATAGCAAACATCCGCTGGCTGTGACTTGTGAAGCTTTGCTGTATCTTTTTAAAAGGTTTTCATACTGTTGGATTTGAAGAAGTGTCTTGCACTCGCTTTCGTTTGAATTTCTTTGCCATTTAATATTCTGAACAATTAATTGATTGTTCAGAAACAGAGAATTCAGTCCGGACTAAGGTGATCCAGGCATGTTTGGCGGTATGTCTCTGTACTGGGAGAGAGCAACATCAATAACAGAAATTACATCGATTCGTCAGGAACAGATGCTCAATTAGTTATTCGTCAGGCCCCCTGTTACTATAGACCCCGATAACATTTTGTAATTATATTTTTTTTTACTGTGAGCGGTCAAATCCTACATGAACAGTTTTGGTTATTTTGTTTTTTTTGTCAGTGTTATTCCCATTGTTTTAAACATGTTTAACTTTGATGTTGCTTCTTCAGTCATGAATATTTAACACCTTTTTCAAGTTTAAAGTAGTTGTGAATATTAACATATCGTCACCTCATAAGCTGATAAGTTAAAATCAAACAGCTGTTACTGTATATTTCAACCTCCAGCAGCTACAGAGCAACCTGCTGCTTCACGGTGAGTCGTGTGAAGGTGAGTCCAGTATTCTCTCTCTGTTAGCTTTGCTTTTTACAGCTTCTTCTCTGGAAACGGCGCCATGAGAGTTAAGAGAGTTATCGTGACCTCTGATCTCTAGGAGGAGTCTTAAGGTGAACCCTGAAGCAGAGATGCAGAATCGTCATTATATCCTCTCTCTTTTATATCCTTGTTGTCTTTTCTTCTTTCTCTTGTTTTAAGAAGTGCTGCGATGGCCGAAGCTCACTACCTGCAGCTCTGGTTTGTAGTGGGAATGATGAAGGTCTTTCTCCTCCTGCAGTGTCCTGGAGATGCTGAGCTACTCCAAGTTCTCCGACCTTGAGACATGGCTGTGTATGCCGTCCTCGCTGCTGCTGCCCAGGGCCCTGGACTCCACCCGCACCACCTCCTCCTCCTCCTCCTCCTCCTCACATACATCCAACCACTCTTCCAATTCCCCGCCAATCTCCTCCTCCTCCTCCCCGGCCTCCAACTCCCGTCGCTCCACCTGCAGCGAGTCAGGAGAGGCCGACACACCACTCAGGTAACGTCAAGCCTGTAGTTATCAAGTTCAAAGGTCAGCTAAAGGTGGTGTTACTACTTTTATTCCTTCAGTGTATATTTTAGGATTTACTGATTTTAATTTAGTTGGTTTCCATGAATTCCTGCAGACAGAATCTCCTCAGGAGGGTTTGGTATCAAGAACCTGTTCCAAGTTGGAACTGTTACCAAATTTCAAAGAAGCGTAGATTCGTTAAGACCCGTGCGTTTGGATCCTGCTCCTCGGTTCTTAACTTCCTGCATATCTCAGCTCCTGACTGAACTGCAGTGAGCATTTTACCATCCATCAAAGTGTCTCTGATCTGCCAGCAGCTGCTACGCCGACCGAACATCACCTCATGTGTTATGTCAACAAAGCCTGAAGAAGAGTCCTTCTGGTTCTCTCCACTGTGACGAAGCCTTTTTCATGAAATGGTGGAAGATGATGCTTCTGATGGCCACCAGATGTTTACGTGGGGAGACTAAAGCTTCGCTGCACCAGTTACCTAAACAAGTGCTGTTTTGAATCTGAGGTCAGTTCAGAAACTTGTCCTCCTGCAGCCAGCAGAAACATTGTTCCTCAGCTCATAAAGTATTTGTCTGGCACCATGCTGATGGCAGTTATGTAGAGAAAGATAAGCCAAGAGCCTGCAGGGAGCCTGAGGGGAAACACTGCTGTTTATACATGTGGAGGAAATGTACTGCTAATATAAGGAAGCGTAGTCATTATGGCTTTTGCTGTGTAGGTGGAGGGATGGAGATTGTATAGGAACAGATTTATCTTCCCCTCAATCCGTTGCTGGGTTATGAAAAAGCAACGGATTAAAGGAAAGTTTGAAGCTGCGTTTAGGCATGAAAGTCCTCAGAAAGGCTGTTCCAGTCGACCAGGAGCATCACACAAACGCAACTCCTTCAATCTTAGAAGTGATCTTCAGCACAGGAGAGGCTCAGAGGTTTCAAAGGGACGTAAGTATTTTTTTAACCTGGACGTAATGATGACATTTTTTGAAACTGGTCCAGTGGCGAGCGAGCGAGCTGCAGCTGGCGCAAGTCAAAGTACGTCCACTAAAGCGCTCGTTTTGCCGCTGACAGGCTCAGATAGTTGTTACGAGTGTCTGACAACATTATGGAAGGGATCCCTACAGAGAGGGAGCTTTTTTAAAGAGGATCCTTTTTGTTAACCTGGAACACTTTGTCAAAGCCACCAGACTAAAATAGTAATTTTACCTCGCAGGACAGAACAGTCTGTCAGCCAGTGTGTTTGTAGTGTGACTTTGTTGTTTTTGTTTGTTGTTGTGTGCTCTTTCTGTTTTAAAGGGTTAAAAGACACAAACAAACTACCCAAAACAAAGTCTGGTGGCTTTGACGAGAGCGATTATAGCGTCCTGACTCTCTTTGGTTCTCTGTGGTACAGCTGCAGTACTAACTGTGATGCGCTAGCGGAGAAAGCTCTCTTTGGCGCTCCTGTAGACATTTAAGAGCTGAGGAGGGAGTTTGGAGTTTCCTGAAGAAGAAGAAAGTCTCCGCTGAGCCCTCTTCAGCTGGCGGGAGGTGTTTAGGGTCCACGTCAGGTCCTTTTGTTATGTGAAGTCCCAGACATTTATGTGGAGGGCGGGAGTTGTTGTTTTCCTGGATCTCCTGAAGTCCACGACAATCTGGTTTTATTTCAGGCGTGTCTGACTTGCTTTGGAAGGCCAGTTAGTGCTCTACATACACGGGAGAGACGTAACGTATTCTCTTGTTCTCTGGCTGACTGAACTGTAGCTCTGGTCCTCTAAAGACGAAGAGAAGTCCAGTTTAGTGACATGCTACTGGATCCAGTACACGTCTTTTCAGGTCAGTGGAGAGCTGAACCATCTTTTTGCCAGCCTGGATGCTACAGTATGCCTGCCCAAATGAAAGAGGAGAGTGTTCAGACATTTCCCAGCTCAGGAAGATAAGAGATGCTCAGAAATGCTGCCATCCTTCACACTTTCCCGTAGGTGGTGCAGTTTGAAGCGGAGCTGCTGTGGCACATGTAGATGTTGGCAGAATCTGCACGGACATGTTGGATTTACCTACAACAAGTAAATGCAGCGTTACTCCCCCCCCCCCCCCCTCCCTGGTTCAGCTGAAGGTTTCATTTCATTTGACACAAAGGCCTTCGCTGGATAAACTGTGATATCTGAAGCGCACACACACACACACACACACACACACACACACACACAGGTAAGCCAACACCATGTTCAGGCATTGAACACTTGAGAGGACCTTTTCCTTCAGCTGTGGACCTCCACACAGTCTTGTGTGATTATGTTTCCTCCTTGGACCCTGAAACCCTTTTTACTTCTCACGTACAACTCGCCTGTTTCGATCACGTGCCACAAAAAGACCGAAACAAGACAGTGGCGGGGACGTTAACGCTGGCGTGATGCCGGCGAAGCGCGTCGAATCATAGATGTGGACTTGGGCTCAGCTGCTGGACTTTGTGTTGCGGAGGAAGAACAAGGGGATCCGTGGGGCCAGGGGATCGTGGCGGAGCCGCAGCTACGTCGTCTCGGAGGACAGGTATCAGGATAACGCGGCCGCTGGACGTGCATGTATTAACTTTATTGACACTAGGAGGATGCTTCATGAACACACTGTACGTACAGTAGCAGCCATTTTCCCGTCGCGCTGTAAACCTGATTCCCAGGATCAGGTTCACTGTTTAATTAATCACAAAGCTCTTCAGAAAAGCTGAAAGAAGAGCTGCAAAATCTTTGTGCTGAAAGTTTCCTCTTGACCTTGAACCCCGTTTAATATTTGTCCAGGAGCTTCAGATCAAATCACATGATCTCCATCAGCAGGTGGGGTTTGCCCCTGTTGTTAAATATCCGCCTTAAGGCCGACGTGGACGCAACCGATCCAGCGTTTCCTCTCCCAATACCAAGTGTCTGCAGATGATTGCTGCTACAGTCATATCTCGATGTCGCGGCGTTTAGAATAAAAACCACCACAGCTTCCTAAAGGCCGAGGAGACGTCTTTAAAAGAGTCTTGATTTGTTTAACCAGCGAGATTTGATTTACTGTCGCATGAAACTGGGAGAGGTGGCGTCGCCTCACTGGAGGAGCTGAAACCAGAGAGTATTTGGCGTTTATTCAGCAGCCGTCCTGAAGGTCAAAGACAACAATCTGATGGTTGTGATGTCACTGACTTCTTTGTTCGATCCCTGCAGGTCACCAGGGGGGGGACTCCACCTTCCTCACCCCCGCGCTGGCGAAGGAGATGCCCTTTCTGGCCACGTCCCTCCTCCCCGTCCTCTCCTCCACGCCTGCCGCCGCCGTGCAGAGCTCAGGGACGTCAGCCAAAGACTCCGCCTCCCAGAGCGGCGTCAGCATCAGGAAGCGGCGGCGGCTCGCTGCCAGTCCTGGAGGACTCCACTGGAACTCTGCAGGTAAGAACCGACTGCGGGGCGTCGCCGTCTACAGCCAATCACAGACAACGGTGACAGAGGAGGGGTTTTGGCTCTGTTCAATCAGCCCTCACGGCGATGTGACATCAGCACGCCATCTTGCTTCTCTTCTTAGAAAACGGCCAACAGACGCCTCAGAAATCAGACCAAACAATCTTTGGTTGGTTCCTGTCACTCAGAACTTTTAAAAACTTAGATTTGAATACAAATTCAGTTTCTGTTTCCGCCATCTTGTCAGGTTTTGGTGACCTTCAAACTTACCGTGACGAGGGCAGTTTAAAGGCATCTTACCAGACAGGAAAAGGTCGTTGGATCGGTTTCGAACAGCATTCGATGCCTCGCCGTCCTGTTAGACAGCATTTTTGGCTGTTTGGCACACAGCCAGAGACGGTGTAAAAGAAATGGACCTAACCGCCATGACATCACCCGGGCTGCTGTTTTAGAAGTATCCAGTTTGACATTTTGGCCGTCGCCATCTTGATTTTTTTAGTTATTTTTTCTTTCTGCAACCAGACACTGATCGTGACCATATTTAGATGAGAGGGTGGAGCTAGCTAGCATCTGTAATTTATGTTAATTATGAAATTAGCTGGGATGCTAATTTTAGCTGGCGGCAAACAAAACGTACCTCCACGTTCAGATATATCAGAAACACCGCTTATATTATAGTTCAGCAGCCTCCACATGAACCTGTTACCTCTCAACTCTGAGCTCCTGAACCTACAGTCGGGCGTGAGGTGGTGGACGTGCCGTCATGTCAGGAATGTTTCTGACTCTTGTTTACACTTCCTGTGTTAGCAGAGCGTCCTTTAGCTCCACCCTTCTGGAGAATGATAACGAGCTTCCTGTAGAGCAGATTACAGATTACAGGCTCATCGTCTCCGTCTCTGTTGCTCAGTGTTGTTAAAATCATAAACTACATCAACCTTTTTTAGCTCGTGACCTTTTAAACAAAGCACCACAGGCTGCAAACTGCGCCCGTGTTAACCACCGAGTGGATTTCCCTCTCAGACTGTCTCATCTGATTAATCTTCAGAGGGCTGAAGGCTGCTTTGAAATAGGGCTGGGCGATTCATCCACTTTTATGTACAATCACTGATTCTGGCTGCCAGCGATTTATGAAAACAAGATAAAACCATTATTGTGCTGCACACCGTTCCCCAGAGATGCTCTGGTTTTGTCTTGTGTCATAAATCCAGCGCCCCCCTTGCCTTTACGGCGTTGGCCCCGCCCCTCCCTAAAAGCCCAAACTCCCTCTCAGCCAGGCTGTGATGTTGAGATGATGTTATAACTAAAGCTGCAACTAACTCTGATTTTCATTATCGATTTTACCTGTAGATAATTTTCTGGATTAATCGATTAGTTGTTTGCTCAATAAAATGACAGAAAATGGTGAAAAATGTTTATCAGGGTTTCCCAAAAGCCCAAGGTGACGTCCCGCAATACCTCAGTCCAAAAGATATTCAGTTTAATGTCGTGTAGGAGCAAAGAAACCAGAAAATATTCACATCTGAGGAGCCAGAATCAGAGTTTTTGTTTTCTTAAAAAATTATTAATAGATTATCAAACTGGATTAATTCTGACTAATTTAATAGAAGACTAATATAATAAGCGTTGCAGCTCTAGTTATAATGCTGTGGTTAACTTAAGCCTACAGCAGAAATTCATAGCTTGAAAAATAAACATCATTTATCCTTTCAAACTAACGCTGGCCGAACATTAAAGGGTAACCGGGCCGATCTTCCCTTCAGTAGAGGGAGCGAGGCTGTTCAGAACAGATTATTGGATGATCATGTAGTTTGAGGGGTGTTACCTCTGGCGTAAGTACAGTCATTTGAAGATAAAGACGGGGTTTTTGGATTAAAGAGCAGCGGACCACGATCCACCCGGCCCAAACAACCGGACCAGACGCCACGTGGGTCACAGGAGAGGAAAGAGAGCCAGGTGAGGAGCCATGCTGGCCCAGCTTGGACTTAATTCTGCTCATGAGGAGTCGGTCTGGACAAAATTAGACTCATATTGATCAAACAACGGAATTCAGAGACGTCTGCGCCCCCATCTTTACAGAGACCTGGACCCCATCACCATCCCGGATCAAGCAGGTGGTCCGCGTTCCAAGCCGTCAGCGCAAGAGCTCTCAGGTCTCTGTGCTGTAGCTGTGCTGTTCGGCATGTTTGTGTGTTTTTTTTTATTTTTTATAACGAAGTCTCGTGAAGATTAAATCCATAACTGCTGCTAAACGGGCAGCAGCGTCCCGACCGAGCGGAGCAACGCAGAGCTCCAAGAAGTCAAGTGCAGTGCGGGCTTGTTGTGGCTGCAGCGCTGGTTTTCAGCCTGATTTCTTGGATGTGTCTGGATGTGAGTTGGATGCTGACCGGTGTCCAGCAGAGGGAGCTGTGACTCCAGCTGTGTGAGGAAGGAGTCGGTCCTGGTCTGAGCCTTCATGATCTGACCCAGACACACTGCCCTGTCTGCCCTTTATCTCAGTGTGTATATATATTAAAACTATTATCAGTGGGAACTTTGGCTCAATGATTCAAGCTAAATGCATAAAGTCAGACAGATTTTAAGAGTAAATGTTTTTTAAACTTACGACTAAATTATTAAGAATTTAAATATTTATTGAGATGACTCTGTTTCTTAAAATGTATTAATTCCTCTCTCTGTCTCTAATGGCTGCCTGACGGATGAAGTGCCGTCAGTTTAGTTTGGTCAACGTCAGATATAACTTTAAAAAATGTCTTTTTTCAGCAGAAATCTCCACCTATGAATACTCTTTTAGCTGTTTTAGTCTAATAAATAATCCAAAATAAACTCAAGATGTCAGAAAGGAGATAATCTTTGATCTGTTTTCCTTATCAAACAGAAAAACACAACCGTACAGCTTCTGAACTCAAATTTCACTCCTTCACCAAACTAATGACTCTGAACTGAACTAAAAAACCCTGAAGTCTTTCCACGGTTCCAACAACCACCAGCTCCGCTTCAGTGTGTAAATAAACCTTTAAATCTGCGAGTGAGAAGTGAAAATATTCTGCGTCTCAGTTCATTGCATCTTTTAAAGCTCCCCTGTGGGTTTGACTGCATGTCTGTGTTCAATGGGTTTCCTCTTCAGGGCATCATTCACTGTCAGAACTCAACAGAATATCTTTTATAGACACAAAATGACCCGATCGGGTCATGTTACTGTTACTCTCTCTGCTGGTCATTGAAGCTGGAGATGATTTGATCAAAGTTTAAAGCTCAGCAGGTGAAACAACATGAATCATAAAACAGTGAGAAGAAATGATTTTGTCCTAAACTATTTAAATAAAATCTGCAGAGAAGATGTTCACTACTGTAAATGTTTACTTTCAGCAGAGATAGAAGGAGAAGCTCAATGTTTTATTGCACGTACAGAGCAATAAAACATTAAAAGGACTAAAAGCCTTCAGGGAGACTTTTACTTTTCTACTTCTGCACAAAAACACGTCAGAATAAAATGCTTCATTTCAATGTTTCAGTCGCCGTGTGGAGGGAAATACTGAAGTGTCGACAGTTTGGTGGTGTTTTATTTTACGTGTGATCAGCGAGAATTTCAGTTTACTACTCAGACCATTTTTAGTTGGTACTCTACGCCGTACCCTGCCACAAAAGCTGTGACCAATGAAGAAGAAGAAGCTCTACACACTGGAACCCACCGCGTAACGGCGTCAGTTGGCGGCGTAACTGCAGAGGTAACTCCTCATGTAGTTTTAATGCAGCAGCTCAGGTAGTCAGCTGGCCAGCAGCCGACACCTGATCGCTCACACACACACCCTGAATGAATGGGAACGTGAAACCAGCAGAACAAGATGGAGGTTCTGTGTTGAAGCTACACAGCGAAGCTCAAGTTTGACGTTTTGAAACCCGTTCTGTCGTCAGCGCCCGTCTCTCCAACCTGCTGCTGCTTTTCACTTTCATATTTTAAATCTCATCTGACTGACCGTTTCTGTCTCTGCTTTACCAAAGTAGAATCCGTCTCTATGAATACTACTATGTTATTATGTGGACATGAACCAATGTTCAAAGCATCTCTCGGTATTTCAGTTCTGTATTATCACACGTTATTTCATGGTGTCGAATAGAAAGGGATTCTTTATTACTAAGTTTTTATTGACGTTCTATTCAGAGTTATTGGACAGGAACAGATTTGATTAATATCATGACAGGATTTTGCTGAAATGTGATAAATAATAATCTTTAATTATCACCTGGCTGTATTAAAACATGAAAGAAATGGATGTAAGTCCATTTGCCTATAATCACATGCAGGTTTCAAATCTGCTCACTAGCATGAAGAAGATTCTTAACGCGGGTTGCTGCTGTACTTTCTGTGTACTTGTACAGGTGTACAATTACAGCAGAGCGTCTCTGGTTTCTGCCATCCAGGTTCGGTGCAGCGCGACTTCTGGTCACCTGATCCGTCTCCCGTGTCGGGGGTGAGCGCGGCGGCTGCTGCAGGAGGTAGGGGTGCGAGGAGCCTCCCCCCGGCCGGAGGAGGTGGGGCGGCGTGGGCCAGCGACCGGGCGGCCCTGAGGAAGACGGTTTCGGCTGACGGAGAGCAGCCACACCTGAGACTGCTGAGTCGGCTGGAGAGAGGCAGGAGGAAGCTCCGCAACATCCACGTGAGTCTCTCCCACTTTGTTACTGTTTATTATTTATTTCAAATGTCCCCCCAGTGACCGTTCGATCATACTGAGTGTGTTTGGCTAATGTTTGTGATAAGACTCGAATGTTGCTGCCATCTTTGTTGTAGTCCAAACATGAATGCATTGACCTCGCTTCGCCCCAGATTACGCAAATAACGATTATTTTGATTATCGACTAATCTGACCAATTGGTAAGTCTGTAAGATCCAAGTCTTCAAATTGCTTCTTTGGTCCAACCAACAGTCCAAAACCCAAAGACTCTTCATTTACTTTCATAAATGACAAAGAATAGCAGCAATTCCTCAATTTAAGGAGATGAAATCAGATAATTTTTCATATTGTTGCTTAAAAAATGCCTGAAACATAATTGATTATCAAAATAGCTGTTGAATAATTGAATATTCGTCTAATCGTTGCAGCTCTACTTACATGTGTTGAGATGTTTAATAGGATATGGTGGGATACGAGGTGATGATCCACTGGATACTCAGATCAAGTGGATTTTTAAAACCCAAAATTTCAATTAAAAAGTTAATTCAATAAAAGACATTAACCGGTAAATGGCTCCGCTCATCTTCACGTCTTTCCATTGTAAGTAAAGAACATGTCACATGTTGCCAGGGACGACACAAAAAGTAAACAGCAACCAGCACAGGTTTCCTCCACCTCGTTCACTCTGCTGTTCACTTCCTGCCTCGTTCTGAATGTCAAGCGGCTTCAGAGTCACGTGAAAACAGAAGAAGACAGAAGCAGCCCATGCTGTCCACCTGTCCCTGTCAGCAGACATATTACTCCTTCATTGATTGATAGATGAATTTACTGGGAGAGCTCGTGTCATTACTGGTTTTTATCTGCCTTAATTAGAGACTTGTTTTTGTGTTTTTTGCGCTTGACAGAATCAACAGTTTACCACCTGGGTTCAGGATTAATAATGTTTGTCCTTTAATAAATGTTGTTATTCAGTTTGCATTGTCACTTGATTTGAAGTGTTTTTCAAAGCGGGGTTGTTCCCTGCTTGACCCTCTGTGGTTAAACTCTCCGTGTCGTTGCTTTGTTTTCTGCTCTGTTGTGCAGCTCTGAGAGCTCGGACTGATTGAACCTCTCGTGTCCGCGGTGAGTCACAGGCTGACACACAGCCCGTCATGCTGCGCTACAGATGGACCAACAAACCAGCTCAAATTAGCTGCTTTCACCACATTCACAACTTTAAACTGTAAAGAAGAAGAAGAAGGTGTCGGAACTGAAAGACGGAGATCCAAAGGATTTGACGTCAGAACTGCTGAACCTCCTCATTACTGCAGTAGATTTATTTCAACCCGTTAGCTTGAGGTTGCAGGTTAATCATCTCGTTATCTCAAAAAAATACCAGGTGTTTTTCTCAAGCGAATGGGAGACGTATCCCTCATTAACTGGAGCAGTATGCTCTTAACGACATCAGAAGTGCGTTCTGGTGCGGCTGAAGACTAATTGAATGATCTTGTTATTTCTGGACGGCTGTGTTCGTCTTCTCATAATAATGCAGTAATCATCTTGTTACCTTGAGAAAACAACCTTTAGACTTTCCAACATAATTATCCCGTTACTGGTGATGAAATTAAATTATTGCAGCCCCTGCTGTTCTCACCTCGTGTACCAGGACAGTCTCTTCAGAGAGCTGCAGTAGATATTAAGTCCTTAAGTTTTGTGACATCTGTAGATGAAGAGGCTGCAGAGGAAAACAGCTCCTCTGTGAGTGATTCACATTGTTGCAATGAGATATCGCCGCTCCGGATCGAGAGTCTAAGGACAGAGGCTGTCGTACATTATACAGATTAATATATCTGCAAGCTGCGATTTTGCGGCTTCAAACGTTTGTGCGCCATAGCGATTTCAAAATAATTTCAAACCTCGGGCAAACGGTTTCTGATTTATTGTGCGATATGTGTCATTTTTTGTATTTGTTGCGCCTCCTAGTTGCTGATATGAGTGAAAGTTAACAAGCTGTGTCTCACGCACAAACTGTTGCTGATATTCGTCCATGTATGTCCTGAGCCACGCCCCCCTCTCAAAGTTTATTGCTCAATATCTTGGAAAACTAAATGAGACATCAACAAGATTTTTATAGCTTATAATAAACCTGAAAATGTGGTGGCCGTTGGAGGCACGGGCTTGGAGGAGATGTCAAAAATATATATATATTTTTAATTCAAAACGGTGTAAATGAATGGCATCATGATCAACATGATTACAAATGTGATGACATGTTTGGAGAGACAAAATGTGCAAGATAAATACATCCCTGTTTGTTTGTCTGAACGTCAGCTCCCAGCGGCTCATCGCACACTCGCTGATGAATCAGTGATGAAGCTGTGATGTGGGCCGGACGGATGCATCTGCTGTCTGAGTTAACTAGCGGTTGGGTTCCTTTTTAAGGGAGGATATGATTTCATTTTTGTGAGTCTTTGAAGGTCAAATCCATTTTCGTCTTCTGTAATGTAATAAAAAGGGTCTCATTTTGTAGTTCTACGCTGGAAGAGTCGTTGATGCTGCAGTCATCGTGGCTCATCGTGGTGTGATGTGACCTCGGCCTAACATGGCTACACAGAAAACCTGATCCTATAAAGCCTCCGAAACACACGCATGAAACTGCGTCAGTGTTAGCAGCTGGATGTGGAAAACTCTAGCATGCGTTGCTGCCTTCAAAACAGCGCTAATCAATATTTCTATGGATCCAAAGACTGTGTTTAGTATGAAAGGTGTCGCTCAAACCCACAGAGGCTTTTTAGCAAGTTTAAAGGCTTCTCGTTTGTGTTGGGCTGTTTTCTGTCGCTGTGGTCAGAGGAGCCTTCATCACTGATTTAATTATTGTTAATCAGTGATGAACAGACCATTACACTGTGCGCACAATTATTACACAAGTGAGTATTTTGTAGGGGTGTGCATCTTCACTGGTCTCACGATTGAATTAGATTATGATTATCAGGTCAATGATTCGATACGATATCGTGATGCATCACAATGCAGCACCTCAAGGGTGGGAACGTCTATGCACCTCATTACTATTATAAGGCTACGATGCAACTGTAAAACGAAAAGGATAAAAATGTATTTTTCTGTGTGACTACTTGGTACTTAAAGTATTTAACAATCCAAACAAGTAGGTAGTAATAAAATGCAGATATTTAATGTTACTTCATATAAATGTAGCTTACATTGCAGCGTTATGTCATTACAGCATTAATTATTACAGCGTTATTATGACATTATTACAGCGTTATTACAGGGTTATGATGTTATTAAAGGGTTATTACAGGGTTATTACAGGATTATGACGATATTACGGCGTTATTATGACATTATTACAGGGTTATTATAGCGTTATGGCGTTATTACAGGGTTATGACAGCGTTATTACAGGGTTATGACGTTATTACAGCGTTATTACAGGGTTATGACGTTATTACAGCGTTATTACAGGGTTATTATAGCGCTATGACGTTAATACAGCGTTATTACTGGGTTATTATAGCGTTATGACGTTAATACAGCGTTATTACAGGGTTATTATAGCGTTATGACGTTAATACAGGGTTATGACAGCGTTATTACTGGGTTATTATAGCGTTATGACGTTAATACAGCGTTATTACAGGGTTATTATAGCGTTATGACGTTAATACAGCGTTATCACAGGGTTATTACAGGATTATGACGTTGTTATAGCGTTATTATGACGTTATTACAGGGTTATGACAGCGTTATTACAGGGTTATTACAGGGTTATGTTGTTATTACATGGTTATTACATTATTACAGCGTTATTACAGCGTTATTACGATGTTATGACGTTATTACAGCGTTATTACAGGGTTATGACGTTAATACAGGGTTATGACAGCGTTATTACAGCGTTATTACAGGGTTATGACGTTAATACAGGGTTATGACAGCGTTATTACAGCTTTATTACAGGGTTATGACGTTAATACAGCGTTATTACAGGGTTATTATAGCGTTATGACGTTAATACAGCGTTATCACAGGGTTATTACAGGATTATGACGTTGTTATAGCGTTATTATGACGTTATTACAGGGTTATGACAGCGTTATTACAGGGTTATTACAGGGTTATGTTGTTATTACATGGTTATTACATTATTACAGCGTTATTACAGCGTTATTACGATGTTATGACGTTATTACAGCGTTATTACAGGGTTATGACGTTAATACAGGGTTATGACAGCGTTATTACAGCGTTATTACAGGGTTATGACGTTAATACAGGGTTATGACAGCGTTATTACAGCTTTATTACAGGGTTATGACGTTAATACAGCGTTATTACAGGGTTATGATGTTAATACAGTGTTATTACAGGGTTATGACGTTAATACAGGGTTATGACAGCGTTATTACAGGGTTATTACAGGGTTATGACATTAATACAGCGTTATTACAGGGTTATGACAGCATTATTACAGCGTTATTACAGGTTTATTACAGGGTTATGACGTTATGACAGCGTTATTACTGACCTCTGCTGCTGCTATTTTCATTTCTGAGGCTGCTGTTATTAGTCAGATGGAGGTAGAACTACATACTTTACACTCTCCAGCCAAACCTTGTTCTGTCCACCTTAATATATCTGTTCCTTTCTTGTCTCGTCTGGTGTAGTTACATGTTTGTGTCTCGTTCATTATTGTAATCTTGTACTGAGCACCGTGGGCCTTGAGAAACGGCATTTTGTTCATTTGTGTACTCGATATGTGGATAAATGTCAACAAACCTGAACTAGCAGCCAAACATCGTCCTGCTCAGCTTCCAGACAGCAGTCTGAAGAGGAGATGTTAACTGACCGCCTTCACTTTCCAGACAGACACGCTGTGACCTGCACTGCACATTTACAGCCAGACTGAAACGTAGCGCTCACATTGATTTTATTGATTATGTGAATGTTTAGTAGTAGCAGCAGTCAGTCAGTCAGTCAGCAGCTGCCGTTGTGTGCACCGCACAGAGCTGCACTTCCACATTTCCGAGTGGACATTATGTTATCAACTAACCTAAGAAAATCGATTATTGACGT